CACTTACATATGCTATACTACCAAACGGCTCGTGCACTTGCGAGTATCACAAGTTGAGGATGCAACTGAATCCATTTTGGTGCAGCTGTATCTACGCAACAGTGTGTAACGACTCGGATATGGAAATTTTATTAATAGATTTGGTTCTATTGTTGTGATTACATGCTTTTGTGTTTTTGTAAATTGTCTCTCACTTGTTTGGTTTTAAAAATACCTTGACAGTACTTTCCTCAATAATTGACATCCGAGATACCGATTGTAATCTAAACCAATCCTCTTCTTCAACTCTTCCACAAACGTAAAGGTTATTTCATATCTAATTTGGAGCAATAAAAACCGTACCACAATGATTTGAGTGAAAAAATAATAATCTCAATAACGGTTATTGAAAAGATAATTCTATTATAATTAGTTTATAAGGTTGCTTCAATATAAAGGAAAGCATAACAATCTGATGGAAATAGAACTCTAGGAGTAAAGATGAACTGGTGCATGAATTGATAGAAATTTCCAAAAACCTAGCAGGCCAATCTTGAAGTAAATTTGTAATATATATGACAATAAAATAAATATTTCATCATGTCGAAAAATAGTCTTTAGAATCGCACTTGTAAATGGCGTTGGAGAAGACTGCCCAATAAATCAACAGGGATTTTCTCTTACCTGCGTGCATTGTGAACAAACAGATTTTGCAAGCTGTCCCACGCTTTATTCCAACCCAAATATACTAATTCATGCATCAATGTTCAAAGATGTGGAGACTCAAATTATAATTATGCTCCCGCAAACTGATCAGGTTATATTTTTATACATTCTCAACAGTATTTGGGTTGTTAGTCCTTCAAAGAAGAGGTCTGCTTCTCTCTCCTCTTAAGGAATTGAAAGTATGGGAACATCTTGTATGTATGATCCGTAATAACACGAAAACATATCACAAGGTCGGTAATGAGACGTGATTTAGTTTCCTGTTTTATTTGTATTTATTTCATTGATTTGCTGTATATATTCATTGTTTCTCAAGGACTTGATTCTTGCCTAGAATAAGAAAT